TGGGAGTTGTAGTCCCTCGCTGCCCCAGGGCGCTTCCGCGCATGCGCCCTGCCTTCCCTGCGCGGGCCGTCGCTCCTTCGTTTACCGTCCTGAGGAGACGCGTGAGGGCCCGGTAACCCGCCACGGTTGGTCTCGCGCCGCGGCCGTTGTGGGGGTACTGAGAGGGGGGTGCCTCCGGACGCTGCCGTTTTTGTGAGGAGACTGAGGTAAAAACGAGAGGAAAGCAGGGCTGCCTGCTGCTGGGTGCTGCCTTCTGTGTGTTTTTGATGCAAATGGAAGCAGAAGCCTTTTGGTTGCGGGTCCTTTGAGCTTGGCCTCATCGGGGTTTTGGTGTGTTAAGCTTGAGAATGGTATATGTTGTTGGTAAGGAGTGTAGACTCGCATTCTGGCTGTTTACCCTGAAGGCACCAAGGATGTGGAGTCAAAGCCTGAGCAGGAGAATAATCACAGAAAAGGTCTCTGACTACCAGGAAAAATATATTTATGAAGGTGAATGCAATAAATAAAAGGTTTTTTTCAGGCCTTTAATTTGCATTTCTTTTCTTCTTTTTTTTTTTTCCTTTTCACCCAGGGAGCTGTTTTAAGGAACATGGAGGAGTGAGCTCCCTGCAGTTTCTTGAGTTTCCCGTCTTCCTGATTTTGACATGATCAAATGTTTGGTGGAAGATGTGCGAGCCAGGCTGCGTTCTGGAGTGACTATCAGCTCACTGGGGCAGTGTGTTGAGGAGCTTGTCCTCAATAGCATTGATGCCAAAGCAACATGTGTAGCTATCAGGGTGGATTTGGAAGCTTTTAAGATCCAGGTGGTGGACAACGGCTCCGGGATGGGGAGAGAGGACTTAAATGCAATGGGAAAACGGTACTTCACCAGCAAATGCAGCTCAGTGGGAGACTTGGAGAACCTGAAGTTCTATGGCTTTAGAGGGGAGGCTGTGGCAAGCATAGCCAACATGGCCAGCGTAGTGGAAGTTTCATCTAAGACCAGCAGGACAGCAAACACATTTGTGAAACTGTTTCACAATGGGCAAGCACTGGAAGTCTGCGAAGCTGAATTGAGCAGACCAAGTGGTGGAACTACAGTCACTGTGTGTAATCTGTTCCATCAGTTACCAGTAAGGAGAAAGTGTATGGATCCTGTGCTGGAATTTGAGAGGGTGAGACAGAAAGTAGAGGCTATTTCGCTGATGCACCCCTCTGTTTCACTTTCTTTAAGGAATGATGCTTCTTGTTCTATGGTGCTTCAACTCCCTAAGACAAGAGATGTATACTCCCGGTTTTGTCAAATTTATGGACTGGGCAGATCCCAGAAGTTACGAGAAATAAATTATAAGTCTGGGGGATTTGAGCTAAGTGGTTATATCAGTACTGAAGGACATTACAACAAGAATATGCAGTTCTTGTATGTGAATAGGAGGCTTGTTTTAAAGACGAGACTACATAAACTAATTGATTTTTTATTAAGAAAAGAAAGTGTCATTTGCAAGGCAAAAAGTGGCCCTGCGAGCAGACAGGCTAGTTCAAGCCCTGGTCGCCATCGTTGTGGCCCAGAGTTGTACGGGATCTTTATTCTTAATGTGACCTGTGTGTACAGTGACTATGATGTGTGTCTGGAACCTGCAAAAACTCTAATCGAGTTCCAGAATTGGGATGTTCTTCTAACTTGCATAGAGGAAGGAGTGAAAATATTTTTGAAACAAGAACACTTATTTATTGAACCAGGTAGTGAGGACATCAGAGAATTTAATGAAGATAATGACTTTTGTTTGTATAACGCTGCAGCTCTCAAGCCCTCACTCTCTGACAAGAAGAGTATCCAAGACAGTTTTAAGAAAGCATGTGATGAAATTGTGGATTCCTATGAAATGTCTAACTTTCAATCAAAAGATGTCAAAAGGAAATCTGTGACTGGAAAAAAGTCTTCAAATCTTATAGAGTCAGATAAAAATCTACAGGAAACCGAAATTGCCCCAAATCAGAAGATTGCTGAACTGTCTGATCCATGTAGAAATAACAAAGTGGAGATTCCACTGCTAAGCAGAGATGACACAGCTTCTGATTTCATTATATCAAATATCTCAGAGCAGGAGCCAAAAGACACCAACGGTTCCCAAAATGCGTCTGATACTCGTCTGAAACCTTTGGAAAATCTTTCTTCCTCTTTTAGCGGAGGGGCCAGATCAGAAACAAGAAAAATAGATAGTTGTGGTGACCTGCAGCATTGCACAGAGAATTACATAAAAGATGTGGGAAGCCAGCAAGGCAAAGTAGTACAGAAAAACAATATGGTCCATATCTTAAATAATGATGTTATTCAGTCACCGACTGATAGGGAAGACCCTACTGAAACAACAATGGGACCTGAAACTGTCTCTGGAAGTTCATTGATGAGACACTGTAATGCAAGAAGAGGAGACCGGGAAACAGCTGAAGTGATAGATGATTCTGGAAAAGGGGCTGTTGGTTCAATACTGTTAAAATTGTGCTCTACAGCCACAACACATGTTATGCAAAATGACCCCCCACATGAATGTGAACAAATGGAAACAAATCTTCCATTAAACATGCAGTGTGGACCCGGCCCTGTCAGTGCCAAGGATATTTTTGGCCACAAGGTGAATTTTCTGATTCAGTCTTCAAATGCGAAGGATATTTCCAGTAATACAAATAAAGAATACACACCTCCTTACACCAGAGAAGTATACATTGCTGATGGTAATGAGCGGTTAGAGAAAAAAACTTTGTCAGATCAGGTGACTGAGGGGATAGCTATGCCTATTGCCACCAGTAAAAGACATTATGAGACATCGAATGTCACAGAATTGCCACTGGCAACTGCTTCAGGTATTCCTCACGATAAAGTTATAAAAAGCACTAGAAGACAAATAGCTGTGCCGAGATCTCAGCCCTCTAAGAAGCTGAGCTTGTCCACACAGCTGGGTTCGTTAGAAAAGTTCAGGAGATACTATGGGAGAGTCAAGTGTACGCTACCAACAACGTTGTCAGAGCAGAGTGAATTTGATCTCCCAGTTTTTAATTCACAAGCTAATTGTGACTTTTCAAAGAATGAGAATGACAACCATGGTAGCTTGAGTGCTTGTGAAACTCCGACTTTGGAAGATACAGATTCTAATAGTAGTAGCCAAGTTTTTGGCTCTTTGGAAGAGACTTTATTTTGCAGTGGAGAAACTTCACAGGACAAACAAGCCCTTTGTCAGAGTTCTTTGACGTTGTCTGATTACCCTCAGGTTAATAAAAAAAGTATAAGTTGTAAAAGATCTCCAGGATCATTATCATCTAAACTGTCCAGAATGAAAAGTGACCACAAAGTAGTAGAACAACTTGGTGAACAATCCCAAACAGATTCAGGTGGAAAAGATGACTACTCTTTTAATCTTGAGTCTTCAAATAATGATTTTTTGTACAATCCTTGTCAAACATCTTCCTCAGTGGAAAAAACGAGGGAAAGTAATTACAGCGTTTCTAAGGGGGATACATGCTGGCAATCAGATGGTACGAGAGCAGAGTCCATGAAAAGTACTGTCAGCCCATCACCACTCAGCAGCATAGAAGGGGAGTATACAGTCTCTTCAAGCAGCATGTTATCATTACCTGCTAAAAAAGATTGTACTAACATCATCTGCAATGATAAAAGTGCATTAGATGAATCCTCAAAACAAAATTTGAAAGATACTGAGGTTCCCCATATGACCTCCTCAAGTAACTTGGAATTCACTGCAGACAACACAAGCACGGACAATCCCAGGAATGATCTGTGGTGTTCTGACTGGCTGCAAGATTTTGATGTTTCATCGGGTAGGACAATATACATCAATACAGCAACTGGACTGAGCACCTATGGCACTCCTCCTACTGAAGGATTTCAAGCTGCCTGCATTCAAGATATAACAACAATGGCTGTGAATGTTGTCTCAAAGAATGGTAAGAGGGGTACTGGTGATTGTCATTGTACAAATAGGGAGGAGGAGAACTGTTTGTGTTCTGCTAAGTGCATAAAATATCTTGCTGACAGCACCTGACAGTTTATACTGAAATATCCACTGCCTTACATGGAATAGCTGTATGGAAAACAGGAAATTGCTGGAGACTATAGAGACAGCAAAACATTAACATTCAAGATATTAAAAGATAATTTTTAATAAGACAATAAAAAGAAATGACAGCACCTTGTCAATTAATAGACAGCTGACTGGGCATCATGACATTAACTGTGATCACAGTTATATAAAATCATTGTTACATAAAAGCAAGGGACACACTTTAAGTGTACTACAAAATTTTTGTGCTTTTTAACATTTTGTCCTAACTGCATACACAATTTAAGACAACCCTTGAAAAATGAACATAAATCTACTCTTCATTGAGAACGTATAGTCTCCTTTCTGCAGATGTTGGAAGGCTGTTCCTTCACACTTTGTAGGAGCTACATCTCCTACATCTCCTACAAAGCTGTAGGAGATGTACAGTGTTGTTGGTGGTTTGATGATGGAGCCTTTCCAGGGGTGACAGGACACTACACTGTATTGGTTCGTCAGTGGTGTGGTGTTCATGAGTCCTCATTGATCTGTCTGTTGGGTTTGGCTTTCTCTGTCCTCCTGATCTGGCTCGGCAGAATACTGTCTTTGGTAATTTTCCCTTCCATGGATTTGTCTTTGTTCAAAGTTGTTCCTTGGTCTGTCTATAAGTGCTATTCCCTTTTAAGTATAGTAATTGATGACAATAATTCTTAATATCTGTTGTGTTCCACTGAAGTAAATTTGTTACAAGGAGAAGAACATCTCTGTTTTTATTAGGTAAAATTACTTGCAAGTACACTCCTTGACTAACACTTTTAATTTCTGTGGTTTACCAGTTTCGGTTGTCCTCAGTGCTGTTTAGTAGCCAGCCAAAGCACTGAGATGTGGAGCTTGACCTTCTATCCAAAATGTTTGGATAGTGCATTCATGTTTATGAAGAGAATACCTCACATACCCTTATGCTTTCAGATTATGTATAGTCTGTAGTCTTTGAAGACGTATATTGTGTTGCATTTTTTTACCTCCAATGGCATTGTTCCTTCTTAGCCTTGTCATTGGTGTTACTCTCCGTCGTGTCAATGGTGCCAGTCTTTCTTAACCCTGTCAGTGGTGTTATTCTTTGGTGAGATGTCTACTGCAGCTTTTTTGCTTCTCTTAGGTTGAAGGTCAGACCTCCCAAATCTTCACAAGGTGTTTAGCTAGACCCTGTATATCTTAGATTTTCAAAGTTCAACAAACATGTTCTTTCACACATTTTCCAAGCAAAGGATATTAATCCTCTTTAGTCATAGGAATAAACATAACTGTGTCCTAACACAGCATTTGTGTCTCTTCATGTTGAACACTTGTTTTGGATTGCTGTTAATATCCAGGACTGGAATAATTTCTTCACTTGCTATGTATGCTTTCATTTTGCTTTTTAGAGTAGTGTCAGTAACTCCATGTGTTGACTTACAATTTCGTAACCCTGTGATTTATTAAGAACAGCATCTCATACACAAATTTAGGGAAATTACACTGGTTCGTGGCAGGTGGAAGGAGGTAAGAATGATCCATATCCTCTTTTCCATGACAGTAGTGGCCGTCTGGTGTTTTTTCCAGTCACATGCCATGTGCGCAACAGAAATGCTAGGTTTTGTAGGTTAGAGTCAGGCGTCTTTGTACTGATTAAACTGATTGCTACAGGAAAATTTATCAAGCTTCATTTCACCATCAAATGCCTCTTTGAATAATCTAATGCTATGCATTCGTAGTAGGTTGACATACCAGTTCAGCTTGGTCTTCATTGTTATGCCAGCTATGTTTGCATTTTTTGTTACTTTTATTACATTATTGACTGATATGTCATTACACCAATATATTTTAATGATCTAATTGAGGGAACTGAAAATGAATACTCAAGTAGGGTAATTGCATGTGGTTTGCACATATAAAGTAGATACGTTATTACCCTCAGCACCTTTTCTGATGTTACTTGTGAGAAAAATCACATTAATAATATCTCTGCCAGCTCTGAATTCTCACTGGCCTTTGGGCAAGAAAATCCTAGCTTTATGAAAAATTTATGTCCTGAACAAGGATTTTCCCTGCAGCAAGAGGCAGGGAAATAAATCTTTGTTGATGATTCTATCTATAAAATACTGGACTTCAGTTCACACAGATGATAGATCCTTCTGTGGACTTGAGGGATAATATCTTTGAATGGTAATAGCTATAAAAGTTCTGTCAAAGTCTGAATTAGGTGGCATTCGTCAACTTGCCACAGTTTACCGGGAACCACGTCAGGCCATCTTGTCCTCTATTCTGGGCTTTGTGACAGTGGGATGCTGAGTTACTCTCCCATGCTGGGCTTCCAGTTTGGATTCTTGAAAGGATTCTCATTCCCCCAGGGTAGGACCATCACTGGTCCTTACTGGGATGGAGGAACAGTCAGGAGTCTATGGACTGACCTAGGATCTAGTAGAACCTTTTCATACTGAGCTTATCAGCACGCAGCTGTTTTTTTTTGGCGTTATCACTTGGCCACTTTTCCTGAATGCACACCCTTAATTTCTTGGTAGAAAGGAACTTTATTAATTCATTATTATTTCACAAAGAATAGAAGTCTGAATTGTACCAAAGGAAGGGTGAAATGTTTACCACTGCGCTGGAAATCTGAGCCACTTTTCTTAATAATCTTGATAACAGTCCTGCTTTGTAATATCATTAAATCATTTCTGGGTGGGTAGGAACATGTTGTTAGGCTTACACTGATATCTCATGTGGTCTCACTGACTTGTAGTTTTCAGTTTTACAAGTTCCTGATAACTGTGCTAAGTATTGATAGGAGTGGTGATAGACTGATAGTTTTGCCACACCCTAGAAGAGGGAAGTCAAAAGTGTTTTGATATCTGACAGACTTTACTACATACCTCCTCTTTCCTTTGGGGATAACACTTCTGATTGCACTAATTCTGGAAATAATTCTTAAGTTATTAATGCAGCAGCCATTTTTCAAGAAGGACAGTCTTGCAGAAGCCACGGTAATATTTTGAAATAATACATTTCCTGACACAAGTGTATCTGATAATTATCAGCTTTTTATGTATATTTCTTAATGTTAGATTGCAAAATCAGCAAGATACTCTAATTTGTACAGGGCTAAGCACACGCTCCTTTATGAGAATATAATAATTGTATAGCTTTTTGTAATTTTGCATGCTGTTGAATCTCCAGCAGTAAATTTATATTGTGTTTAGGGATTTGGTTCAGGTGCCATCCCTTTAGAAGTGAGATTGTGCTACCCTTCCTTCCTAGACCTCGAAAAGAGAAGACTCTAGCAAGCCAGGATCTGAGAGGTAGGGCCAGCTTTCCAGGACACAAACGTTCTTTGGTTAAAAAAAAAAAAAAATAAATCAAAGCATTCTCCCAGGTGTCCCAACAGGAACCCAGAATTACTCAAGGTCTGTTAACAATGGGACCGTGTGAGTCATCTCAAATCTAGAACTGGAAAAAAAGAGTTCTTTTAGGGTTGAAGGCAGGTTAGGGGATACTTATTTACAGGATGAAATACCCAGTTCTTTGTTGAATTATGTCAGTAGTTTAAAGGCTAATTACCTACTCCCTTCTTTGTACTCGTTCCAACCTTGGAATGTGAAAAATAGTTTCAATCCTCACAATTTTTTTTTTGCGGTGGAAATGATGAAATCATCCTTTTGGTATGTAGCTTTGTCCAGAGGGAGTGGGTAGCTAAACAGGTCTGTCTTTCCCTCCTTCTCCCCCCACCCCATTTCAAGGGCCTGTTGAATTGTGCTGCAGCATGTTTAGGAGTCAGAAAGCTGCAGTGTCCTTCTGAGTTAAAGACGACAATAAAGAAGCCGAGTCTCATGTTCCATTTTTTGTTTTTACATTCTCTCCTTTTCATGATGGGAAAAAATATAATAATACTTGTGTGAGGTAGAAGTACCCAATGCCCCTTCTATTGGTGGATGGTGGTAGTTCCTGTATTATCTATGTGTTCTTTCCTAGATGATGAAGGGGAGTCTCTCCAGTCATTGCTTTCAGAATGGGATAATCCTGTTTTTGTTCCCTGCCCAGAGGTAAGTATTATCTCTCATCTCATGCTAAAATAGGAGTCAGTTTAGCCTTCTGTTGTTTTCTGACACGGGGACTAAAATTGCAAATATTGTAACCATTGCATATAAGTTACTCAGCGATATATTAAACTATAGACCTGGATGCTATGTGTTTTTATAGACTATTTATATGTATGTAATATTGTGGATTTATTCAAAGTGAGAGAAGCAGGTATCAGGCTAATCTTTTGTTTTGTATCATTTCAAAAGCAAAACATTATTGTAAGCTGTCTTTCCCTCTACAGAGATAGTCTTCTTAATATCAAAAGTTAAAGGATGGCAAAATTGTAATACAGTGTCTGTCCTCTTTCAGGACAGCATTAAAATAACCGAGCTTTCTTCTCTGGGATGCAATGGATCTTAAAAGTGTATTTTACTATACTTGTTTTTATAGCCTGGCAGGATTATAGCATGTGAGAGGGAAACAATGTTGGAGCTTTTAGAAAAACTTCCTTTGTTGTCATGAGGTAGTATTATCTTTAATCATCATCTTGTGTATGTGTAAACATATGTATGTAACCATTTCCACCTGCAAACAATAGGGATGGAGTAGCAAACCACGTGCTGGTGAGTTTCTGAAAAGGAACAGTTCTGTTCAGTTTTCACTGTGACGTGTACTCTGACTCATTTCAGGATAATACATCTTTTGTAATGCAATCCATTGAAAGCTCACGTAGGCTGATAATTAACTTCAGGTTTTCTGATAGGTACTTTAAATCGACTGAATGCATTTAAGTTAGCAGGTAATATCCAGATGGAAAAGTATATGGGGATGGAAGCAGAGGGATTGCTGGATAGTATCTTTAGCTAGTGCTATTCTTGTGTAGAAAGATTGGTTTGTCAAAATACAGAGTTACTTCCAGTTTTTCTTAAAGCTGGTTTATTTGGTGTATTCTGTGTGCGCGTTTGTTTTTTTTTTGCCATATCCTTTATTGCCTACTTGATCTGTAATTCTGTTTTTACAGATTGCTGTTGATGTGACCAGCAGTCAGGCTGACAATCTGGCTGTGAAAATTCACAATATCTTGTATCCTTATCGTTTCACCAAAGAAATGGTTCATTCAATGCAGGTACAATATGACCTATTACTAGTTTTCACCCCCAAATTCCCACACAGCAGATGGGATTTGCTGATGTTTCTGCCTGATGGGAAAGAGGTATCCAGGGAAACAGCTGATATCCCTAATTTTCACAAGCACAAACAGCATTCTTGGTTGCTGTGTGATACCAGTGGACACATATGTCATGCCCGATCTTAGTATCATCTCATGGTTAGTCAGCTATCTGCAAGTGACTCTAAAATTCTTTGACTGTATGGTTAAATCAAATTCAGAAGCAGCCCTGTTACTGCTGCTTAGAAACACTGTTAAATAAATGATATTCCAAAGGGCAGGGTTTTTTATTTATTGTAGGCATTTGCTTAGTTTGTGTTCCTCTGAAATCTATGTCCTGTATATTCCATTGTTATTGACCTTAGAAATTTAATTCTTCAGCAGAGTGGTTTCAAGAGTAAATCCCAGATTTTGTGAAAAGACTTGAAATTTCACTTTAAGATTTATGTCTCCCTTGAAAAGTGATTCTTAAAAATAGCATCTTAGCATCAAGTTTAACTGGTTTAGTGCTTCTTTAGCAAATGTTTTGAATGTTACCTTAAAAGCTAGTATAAATGTGGCTTCGGTTTAGATTATTTGGTGGTTTGCCTGGATGGAAATGCCAAAGTAAATTCTCTCCTTCTCTTGCATCCCACTGAGAAAAGGCTTACAGGCCCAGTTAGCGTTATTCTCATGCAGTCAGGTTGCTGACTTTGAGATTGCAGGTTCTAACTGTGTGGGGCATAGTAATGTTGATCTCCAGGGTGGACAAGGATCCAAATGATTCCCTTGCTTATGTTGCGTGTGCAAGAATAACGGGAATAAATAAAATTACTGCAGTAAACAGATTATATTTCAAAAAGACAGGAGAGGAAAGGTGGAAAATGGAAGGTACCATTTTTCTGTTCACTCATAATACGAACTGTGCTTTAAAACTTACTGAGTGGTTCTGTGATTAACTTTACCTGCGTAATGTTTTCCTTTGTATGTTTTTAAGAAGGTAAAGCTAGAAGAAATTATCACATTCCATCTCTGAAGAAGCTAAATACTGCCTTCAGTACACTGTAGCAATTTTGAGAATCTCTGTAGAAAAGACCAAAAGCACAAAGTGTTGCATCATGCCACAGGAAAAGAATAAAAAGAATCATTATGTCTTGCATCCTTGTAGAGAAATAGGATTACCTGTTCATTTTTACCTAGGAGGTGAACAATGCACATGTTGTGAGACAGAGAATTCGGAGTGAGCTCTATCTATGTGACTTGGAGAGAAATTCCTCCCTAACACCATATCTGTTAATTTAAATCCAACAGTAAGATACTGAAAGCATTGTGCATCCCTCGTCAGTATTCCCTGTAGCTCTGGTTGATTTCTGATGCTTGAGGGGAAGGTGGAATCAAGTCACAGAAGCAAATTTTACATCAGAAAATTAGCGGAAAAAGTGCTTCCTGGCTTCTATGGATGATCAGCACACGTCCTTAAACACAGGGCAGGTTAAAAAAGGTTGTTTACATTCGCTTTTGGTGATATCAGCAAATCAAATACTCAGAGCTGCTGTGCACAGCTTTAATTCCCAACTCAAGGAGGCTTCTATGCAAGCATTTAATCCATTCTGTAAATTTCCAGCTCCACCTTAGAACGATTAGAGCTCTTGCCCTTATGACTCTCTTTGAAAAAATTGATCCAGAATTATTTTCTTGGATATTTCGAAACTTTCTCTTAGTTCCAGAGTAAACTGTTTCATGAGCGATTTATGGTCATTTAACCTCCTGCCAGTATTGTCTTTTAGCTTAAATAACTGCTGCCTTTTCCATATTTGACCCCCCACTGTATTTTTAAAGAGTAATTACATACCTCTCAGTTTTGCTAGGCCAATTTTTTTAAGCCTTTGGGATTGGAAAATATGTGGTTTCCACTCCCCTAATCATTCTACTAGCTGTTTGTTGCGCTTGATCCATTTTGATAGTCATCTTCTTTTGTTTACCTTCATTTAAAAAATAATTTTATAACTGGGTGATGATTTTTCTGAGTATTTTACAGGTTCTTCAGCAAGTGGACAATAAATTTATTGCTTGTTTAATCAACACTAGGAATGAAATGGATAAACAGGCAGGTAAGAGTGGTTATTAACATGAAGTTGAGGTGGCTGTCAAGTGCAGTTAGACTGCAGAGGGAACACTGTCCTGTTTATATTCTCTTCTTGCCTTGGGATGATATTGAGAGTAGAGGAAAATGTTAGTCTTCACTTGAAATTTCCTGGATCTTCTTTATCTTTATTTTGGACGTTGTTGAATGTTCCTACTGCCTTCAGATTAGTGTTACAAAAATAGATTGTACTCAAATTACTAACATCTTTCAGACTCTGTTCACAGTGTCTGGACATATTAATTGTTGAGGCTTGCTGAAGCTGTACAAAAAAGGCATTCAAAACCAGTAGTTTTCGTAACATTTTTAAAGACTGTATTAAACAGAACAGCTTGTGAGTGACCTCAGCTCTCATTCTGGGGTTAGATGAAGATGTCAATAGACAAGAGTTTCTGACTCAATCTAATTACCTTAATTTAAATGCCAGTTTGGATCACTAAATTTCTGTTCTGTAGTGACTTAATGTTCTGCCAACACAGCCGCCTCCTCACTTTATTTCTGTAAAACTGGCTGATAGTTATCTTCTAAATGTGGCCTCTAGAGAGTGGTCATTCTTCCCAACCTGTGCAGTTGTCTAGTACAAAGTTGCCTATTTCTCATCTCTTGTGGTACGTGTTTAGATGGAAACCTCTTGATTTTGGTGGACCAGCATGCAGCTCATGAACGGATCCGTTTGGAGCAGCTTATTGCAGGTGAGGATTCAGATAGTCTTAGGAAGAAAGATAATGTGCACAGAAAAGTACAAACAAGCTGTCTGAAAGGCAAAGCTTGCTAAGTAACTTATTGTAACGATGAATCTGGGATAGATGGAACCAAGAGGATATTCATTTGTCGTCTTTATCCTGATCCCTAGGAGAGTGCAGACATTCAGTATCTGTAGTAGTCATAGTATTGGCAGCTGAAAATCGTTACAGCGTTTCCAAAAATAGAAGATATACTCCCTACCCACAGAACTATCAAACTAAAATAGTCCTGACATAATGAAAGAGCAGGAAGACTGATAGGAAAAACAATGAAGAGGAAATAGAACAACATCAATAAGATTATGTGGTTATGCTGTGAAGAATAAGACACGGGATGCAGAGTAAAGAGCATAGTTCATTCGGTTCCTTTTTTAGCTGAATACTGTGCTTAAAGCCTGAAATTTCCACAATCTGAAGCTGTTTGCAAAGGGATAATGGTCTTCTCTGTAAGCTCATTAGCCATTGGTTTCAGTGTTAAAAAGCACAATAGCCATCCATCAAGTACTTAAAAATCATTGACCTTCTCTTTCATCAATAAAGACTGCACAGTTCTTGCAGAGAGGGTCCCAGGAACTCTGCTCCTTTTGGTCAGGTACTGAAAAAAAAATAAAGACTGAATGGATAAATGCTTAATGAATAGTATTTTATTGCCATTTATATCAGACTTCTCTGTGGAAAAATCGCTCTCTGTCAGTTGGACTAAATATATCAGTAGGGTTTTTTTTTGCTATTTAGGGTGACTCTTTTTTGGAACTGGTGGGAAAAAACAAAGTGGCATTAACCAACCCTTCCCCAGAGACTAGATGTCTGGTTTGTGACATTCCCAGTCCTCCACAAGTTGCAGGAGAAGGCATTCTGTGGTCACTTTTTAATCCAAACAGAGGATTACATGCCAAACCATAGGGTCATTAAGGGTAATGGCTGCATAAATATTCTAAGAGAGGATACTTCTAAACGATTCATTCACAGATTCCTATGAGAAGGAAGCTGCAGCATGTGGCAAGAAGAAATTACTGTCCTCTTCCATCTCTCCCCCTTTGGAGATTGAAGTTACGGAAGAACAAAGAAGATTTCTACGGTTAGTAATGGCCAGTAGCTCTAAACTTTCGGGGATGGCTCTGTTGACCAGGAAGATCTATATCTCTATATATATTGCTAGGTTACTGTGAAGCTCAGGAAAGAAGCTGTTGATTGTTTCTTGAGCCGAGACTAGTTGGCTATATCTGTGCTGAGGAAAATAGGTGTGTTTCTCAGGCAGGTTGTTACAACATGTCAAGACAAAACCCTATGGTGTGCCATCTCTGTGCCTCTGCAACGTGCTCTGGTTTCCCTGGGAAAGTAAACCTTCATGTGTGGGCCAGGAGAGTGCCAAAGCAGTCTCTGACAGATCTTACTGTCTGGGGCTCAGGACTTGGGAGTGCACACTGGAGTGCAGTGCCCATAGTGTCAATCTAGTCACTGATTTAACAGGCACTGTTTGAGAAGAGCAGGATGGGGTATGGAAAGTTTCTGTTGTGAATCCTTCAAAAATGCATTCCTTAATCCTACGTGCCTGCCAAGAGTAACTAATGAACACCGTTTCCCAAATGTTTCAGAATGGCGGCCTAGCTACTATTAAGATATTTAGCTTTTGTACAGCGAGTTTAGATGCAGATTTGTTGTTGGACTATTGGAGACCTACTGGACACTAATCAGACTTTTTTTTCCCCTGAATGCCTGCTTGTCACCTGCCACATGCATTTGTGGTTTTTTTCCCCTTCATTGTGCTTCATTTTCAGGTGAAGTTCTATCTTAACATTCAGAGGACTACCTTACTATTATCAAACTGCTTTTTTTTGTGATGCCTTTGGCAAACTCAACAGCTTTTAAATCACTCCTTGTTAAAATTGTTGCCTATTATAGGGATACACTTATTTGGTGTAAAGCCCTTTTTGGCTGTATTCCAATCATAACAGTATCACTTCTGTATCTGTTTGGTAACTCTTTTGTGTGACAACAGCCAATACCAGAAATTCCAGAGAAGTGTAAAGCACTGTTATGTTGTACCTGTCTTAGGGAAAAATGTGAGAACGTAACCATTCCTGTTCATGTAGTTCAGTAATATTTGGTTGCCTTTGTTCCCATCTCTTAATGATGTTCTTGCTAACATCACAATATTTGTAATGCGTCTTGTTCAACTTCGAGTTATTTTTGCACTTATCTTTGAATGTCTTCCATTTCTGATATATCTACTTTTGAGACAAGATACCAAGTGAGGGTATCCCATTGATTTATACAGTAGCTTTGCAGTTGTGCCTGTATTTTCTGTCTATTATATCCACACCTGATATTTTGGCTACTGCTGATTGCATGAATTGCTTGTTTATTGAATAGTCATGACAATGAAACAGAGTTGTTTGTGGGGTATTTTTTAAATTTTGCTATTTGTGTAGATGCCAACAAAATCTACAACTAGATCAAATTATTCCTGATAAATTACATTTATTTGTCTTCAGGAGCAGTGAATCCAGTTTTTCTGTCCATTTTTTGTTATACCTTTTTCATTCATCCTGCTCATTTCATTCATCATTTTTCTACTTTTTTTAAGTTCTGATTGAGTTCAACATCATCTTTAGTCTCAGCTAACGTAAATAATTTTGTGTTTTCTACAGATTTGCCTGCTTGACCATGCCCCTTCTTTTTCCATATCATTAGTAAACAATTATGAAGATACACTGACCAACTGTTGCCAGCGTACCTCTTTTCCATAGTCTCGAAATCATGACAAATGTTACTTCTGTGTCAATGACAACTTTTTGCATTTCTAGCCACTTTTAAGAGATGGCATTAGAGGCTTTTTGAAAGAGCAAATAAATTCTGTGAGCTACTTTTCTTCATCAGCTAAATCTCAAACATACTACAAAAATCAGTAAGATAAAGTAAATCAGAGAAGCATGGTTTTCTTTTAAGGATACTGGTTAAATTATTCAGTACTGTGGGATGCCAGTTGTGATTTTCAGTTATCACTTAAGATAATTAGTTCAAGAAGCTTACTGGTGCTGGCATATGCTGGTGCTGGCTTACTGGTGCTTTTATTATGTTGCTCTTCAATTTATCCGTATTTATTGGCAGTTCATCTCTTTACAATCACTCTGTGAGACTATCCTTACGAAAAAGTTACAAATGAAAGATACTATGTAAAAATCTAAATTCTGTTGTTATTGCTGCTGGCAGAGTATGACTATATTCTATGGTGAAGTTTGATATAGTGAAATAAATTAACTTCCGTAAAAGACCTTTCTCTTCAGCTATGCTTGCTATTTAATAGTTCAGCTGGACCTCTGGTTCACCTGCAGCTTTGATTCTATTATTTGTCTACTAAGCATTGTTCTGTTGACTCCCTTGAACTTCCTTTTTTTTTTTGTTCTCCCAAAAAAAAAAAAAAGGCCTGAATGACTTCAATAGCTGCTTGGATTCTGTCATTTCACCACAATGGGCTTTTTCTGTCTTTCTCTGCTCTTGCTGAAGGCTATACATGTCTTCTTTTTTTTGGGGTGAAATTACACAAGTCACCTCCATATGGAGGCTAGTAATTGTACTATTCTCGTGACTGATTTTAGTAAGTTTAGATTACCTTCTTTTTTGTTCAAAGAATCTCTTGTCTAAAATTGACCTTCATCACCTTTGTTTTAAGTGAATATTGCCTGAGTTAATAAAATAAACTGTATATTGTTACAGTTATTTTCATTTTGAAGACAAGTTCTCATCTGACTGTGAAGTCCCATTTTTGTGTGTATTTTGGAATCCATAGGGTAACATATGTCAGATTAACTAGAGGTTGTTCTTTTCTGGGTTCTCTTTCCTTAATGGGATATAAAGTTCATTAAACCAGCATAAATTTCTTACAAAACTTTTTTCCTTTGTAAGTATTTGCAATGACATGTTAATTGAAATGACAATTTTTTAGGTTAGACGTAAAGGAGTCTTTATGCTGCGTAATTTCAGTATTTGGTGTATTTGTGTGTTGAACCAGACACATTGTGCATCTTTAGAAAAGACGGATTTATAAATTTAGACATAAAGCTTCTCTCCATAGTACAGGAACTCTTAGATCTTGTGGTTGCAGAACATGAAATATGTACAGTTGATTGCAGTGAAAAAACATGGCTGAATGTAGGCTGAAAGAGCAAAATTACTTGGAATCTTGTGATGCGTGGATTTAGAGACTGGAAGCTGTTGCAGGAAGAAACATATATGGGGACTACAGTAATATTTACGCATGCTGTTGAGACATAGCTAGTGGTTGATGTCTTATTTCTTTTTTTTTTTTTTTCCTCAGATGCTGTTACAAAAATTTGGAGGACTTGGGTCTTGAATTATCATTTCCTGAGACCAACAGCTCCTTGATTCTAGTGAGGAAAGTGCCGCTCTGTTTTATAGAAAGAGAAGCCAATGAATTACGACGGAAAAGACAACCTGTCACTAAAAGCATTGTGGAGGTTAGCTGTGGATATGGGTGAAATTGTGATACTGGGTCTTGTTCTGTGTTAATGGCCCCAGGGTATTAGAGTATCTCTATTATGAGGGAGACAGTGAGGTCTCCCTTGGCAGATGTGAGTGCCATCCCTTTTAGTAGCTAAATAGTCCCAAAACTGAAATCCCTGAACTACAACAGAAATGATAGGAGACTGTTTAAGACTTGGGCTAGCGGAGAAGCTAAGAAAAATAGTATATAGTCCAGATGTTTCAACAGTTTAGGGCTCGTGAATGCTTGAATGAACAATAAAATGATTAATATTGCTGATACAGAAATATTATTTGTCAGGATTTAAAGTTGTTTCCATGAAATCTCTACATGGGCAATGCAGCTTTCTAAAAGCTGCTGTTCCAGATGTTCTGCAGTTTGAGGAAGGAATTGCTGAACTGATTACGTGCAGTTTCCATTGTAAACAATTCTCCACAATCATAACTGTTTCAAGGACTCCTTAAAAATGGTTTCTGGAGTACCATATTCAGCCACTAGGCTGAGCCATTGTTAATCAGTCCAGTCTTGCCATACATGCCTTTTGATGTGAAAAGAAGAAACAGAGAAGATGATTCATCTCATTAAATTTTCTTTTCAACCTTGCTGTAATCGGGAAGCACTCAAAACGCACTCTCCAGGTGTGATTTGGGAGCCAAGATCACCAAAAGTGGTGGAGGAGGGGATCAGGTCTGTGCCTCACGAGCACTCATTCTTAGCCAACACCTTGATATCTCATGAGCGTTTTGGCAGATCTATTCTGCAGTCCTTTTTATTTTAATGAGGCCTGGTAGCACCTATTCATGATTGATTATGAATTCATTACATTTTAGACATCAGAAACAAAATCCACATGGACTATTATCCAAAGAAGAAAGGGCAGCTGTTCAAAGATAGCACACATTCATTGCCCTCTGAGTATAGGAGTTCCATTATACCCATGCTACAGAGAGGAAACTGATGCAGAGAGAAACCTAGTGATTAGTCTAAAGTCTGATGAGATACTTGTGAGAGGTCAGGACTTGCACCTCGATCTTTCACACTGTGGTCAGTGTACTAGCAATGGCATAATTTTTCCTGGTTCTGGCACTTACACAGTAAATTATATACAGATGTGCACAAAGCAGGGTATGGGCAATGAAAGGCAGAAATAGCAGCTGATGATATTACCTTTTTCTTTCCAGGAGCTTATTCAAGAACAAGTTGAGGTGAGTTGCTGTCTGTTGCTGCTGTCTGTTGACTGTAATAATGCAAAACTTTCAACATGAACCAAAGGGAGTAAGTGTGTTAAGCCTCAAATGAAAGAGGTAGACTCGATAATCCACTAGCTTTTCCTCATTTTTAGTTTCCTTTGTGTTACAGTTCTTTCTTTTTCTCATATTAAATGGAAAGTAAGATGATGTTCCCTTACTACTTTTAGCTAGTGCAGACCACAGGAGGAGGAGCACGAGGGACACTGCCTCTGACGTTTCTGAAGGTGTTAGCTTCCCAGGCCTGTCATGGTAGGGAAACTGTACTGTTTTCTTTTCTTCTTCTTTTTTTTTTTTTTTTTAACCTTTCTGTCTCTGAACAACATCCTCCCTGGGAAAGTGGTTTCAGAATGCATTTGCAGGAATTCCAGGATTACAGACTGTGTGTTACATAGGGATGAGGAGATAATGGTCTTTTTATGGACAGCACTGTGAGGGACAAGCAACACTGCTCTGATTTATTCCTGTATGCGAATACTTTCCAACCCTCACATGAAGCACAGATAGAATACAGTTCTGAGATGCACTCATCCATGTGAAATCTAAACCATTCAAACAGCAGCTCTATAAAGGGGCAAGGGTAGTTGCTGGAATATGCTTGAAAGCAAGCAGGAAAGAAGACTTAAGATACTCTTCCCCAAAAGCACTTTTTATTTCATATAAGTATCAAAAGTGCTAGTTTAAGTGTGCCTGTGACCTTTGAAGTATTTTTGGAAGGAGTGCAGTAAGAATTTACATCTTCTAAGGGACTATGGTTTTCCAGCACCTAGAAATGAGCAGACCTTACAGGTACAGACTGCAGTAGCTCTAGCCTCTGTGGCAGTTTCTGTGCCATATTCAGTATTAAAAAGATTATACTGAGGGGGTAAATGTGAACCAAAAGCATCTATTTTCACTACTTTCTGCAAATGGCAGACAATATTTATCTTTTTTTATACCTAAAAAAGTCCCATGGCTGAAAGGCAGATTGCAGATGGTCTTGTGCATCTCTGAAGGCTAGAGATAGCAAACACCTCTGAAATGACTCCCTAATGTTCTGCTTGGATTTACTCTGGATGTCATTAAGTGCTCACTTGTTAGAAAGGACTTAGTGGCAGGGTTAGAATTTGGTCTTGGAACTGATGCCTGTCAGTGGCAGGCACACAGAACTGATAAAACCTATGGAACTGATATTAGCTGTTGCCTTGGTTTAATACTTGTTTATTTGCATACTGGTTGCATCTTCAGCAGTAACACACACACGCCCCCCCAAAAAAGAAAGGAAAACAAAAAAAGCCCATTGCCTCTTGCAGTGTCATCTAGAAAGTCAAAACCTAATAATCTTACCATCCATCAGACTTGGGTTAGGTGAACGTTTAGGCCATGGAAAGCTGATCCTTATGCAGCAGACCGGTTAATTGAGCTAAGCCCTAAGTCTGCCATACTGCAGCCTTTGGACTGCCTTTGCAACCTCCCAGCTAATCTTTGCGAGCTGCCCTGTTTTCTGTGAAAACCACAGCTATGGAGGGAAGTCTGCTGGGTGGTTTGAACTCTCTTTGGCACCACATGCAATAATTTGTATCTTTTTTTCAGGAGCTATTAAGTTTAATGAGCATTTGACTTTGGAGGAGAGCTGCAGGCTTATTGAAGCTTTGTCATCTTGCCAGCTGCCCTTCCAGTGTGCTCATGGAAGACCTTCCATGATGCCTCTTGCAGACACAAACCATCTACCACAGGAAAAGCAGGTACTGTGTAGGACACAGATATGCCTTTGATAATCCATACTCTGGATTATCAAAGCTGTATCATGTCTGTGTCTGTTAGAACTACAGTGGGCCAGTTTGAAACCATCACCACTGGCTGCATCTTACTTCGATTTTTACGTAGCAGTTACCAATAAAATAAAACTTCAGAACATTAAACCTCTGTCCTGCAAACACTTTAGCAAGGATCTTACCATATTTCATGTGAATGGTCACATTGACTTGAATGGAGTCCACTAGTCCTTAAAGTTAAACATGTATTTAAAGTGTTAGCAATTTTTAAGTGTAAAACTTGGAAAACATGTCAATTCTCATATTCTACTAGTGGTAAAGATGCTAATTAAACAAATGCATACTTCCCCAAAGTCTAAGATGCTATAAAATGGGGGGAAAAAAGCAAAAAAAAAAAAAAAACCAACATTTAAATAATAAAAAAGTCATTACTGCTTCCCTTTTTCTATTACTTTGCTATATTAAGTTATGAAATTGGATTCTGTTGAAAGTCAGGTGGGACTTTGAATTAGACATTAAAAAAACTTGGGAATGACTATATTAGGACAAAGAGTATGGAGGCATTGAAGCTCATTTACTTAGTTATGATTTAGTGCTTCTTAATTTTTCTCCCTCCAGCCTAAACCTAATTTGGCTAGACTGCGGAAGATGGTGCGAGCATGGCACCTATTTGGAGAGAAAAGACCCTAATCAAAGCTGCAGCCACTGGAAGTGTTGGGGTGATCCAGGTTCCCCTGTTGTTAGACAACAATACCCTATGTGGAGCCAACTTTCTGAGCCGGTGTGGTCACCAAAGTTCTGCTCCGACTACTGACCTAAGAAGCAGAGACCAGCCAGAAGAACAGGACAGGAGGAGCGCACCCTTGTAGCCTGGAGAAGCACCTTCAACATTCAGGAATTACACTGTAAGCCTGGGCCTTACGTCAGTGCTTGACTATCGGAGGCAAGAACTTGCAGCTACTCGCAGTTACTAAAGTGCTTTTTCTCTGCAAGCACAGCAAGACTATGCGTAGAGAGGAGACTTCTAATTAATGTATTTTATAGTGCTTTGAAAACGGGGAGGTATTTATTAATAAAACTAACACTAAACTCTTTCCTTGGGCTCATGGCAGTGGCTGGAATGAGGACTGACTAGCTTCATATTATATATAGGCCAACTTAGGATCAAAAAACATTCTTTTTATTTAACTAGGCAATGAATGACACACCCAGCTGTTTTTTCCAGCTCTCTGCAGTTTGCATTCTTGAGTGAGAGATTTCTCAATCCTAGCATAGCCCCACGTTCTCAGGGTACGGAAACTTACCTCCGCAGAAATAACTAAATAGCCCATGGCATTTTTTTACAATAGGCAGACTTTTTTTACAGGTTCCAGTTCAATTTTGTGTCTCAGTCTAAGGTAGAGGAGTAGAGTTTATTTCAGAACGGTAAAAGAAGATGATGTTTCTGTTGACATCCAACTTAAAACTGAATCAGAGAGATATGGATGTGCGGAAACTACTTTCATTTGATGCCTTAACTGTGGTGTAGTGTATTGCCCATACATTGATAAAAGGAACTAAGGAAGAGTGATCTGACTGACATGCAAGAGCTTGAGATTTTCAAAATATTCCATGTCCCTCACAAAAATCAAGAACTTTCCAAATGAGATGATCTCTACCCAAGAATAATTGCAGTCACTCAAGTAGTACAGGAGAGGAAAGACCCTCGGACTACAATAAGTGAAGCGAGAGCTTGAGCTCTGCCTTCTGACACAGAGGTGAACAAGCTAGCTCAGGGGACTTCTGAAGGTCTGCCTTTCATCACGAATGGAATTTCCATTCCAGCATTATACAAAAAGCTGGTTGGTATTTCAGCAACTTGCCAAAAATTGTCAAAAAATTCTATGAAAAAAAATCCATTTTGAAGAAAATTGCCAATGGATTCCTATAATTCATATGTGAAAGCACACCTTAAAGCCTGCTACTACATCATAGGTGCAGACAACTCACTACACTGGTAACACTCCTGCTGTATACGGAAAATGTGCTTAACAGCTTAGCTGCCCCAGACATTTACACATAAGCCTTGTTGTTTCAAAACCCAAGTGGGTTAATAGTGCCACATGGCTTCTAACACAGCACAGGGATCAATACCCATCAAGAGCTCTGTCTTCAGTTGCTTTTGTGTAGGAAAGACATTGCTGAGCAAATTCCCCACTGATGCCCCACAGCAACCCGCCTTTGCAACGTACACTTTAATTAGCGGTTGTATCTTTCTAAAGAAAAAGATAGGAAAAGTCTGGAGAGTGACATGCTTCATGGCATCAGAGCTCATAGTCATCAGGATGGTAGAGCTCACTCATGAGGCGGTAGATGTAAGAAGGCGCATTACCCCCAATGTTAGAAATGAAGAGAGTAATGAGCTCTGGTGGGACATAGTCAAACACTGGGCAGTGAACGTTGATCTTTGCCAGGATCTCCCCTGTAAAGAGAATAGCAGCAATATTAGACAAAGCAACTCAAAGTACATTTAACCTTCTGCGCATCTTCCTGAGCTCCTGAAGAAACTGGCTATGCACACGCCACCCTGAAGTCAGTAATGGAACATCCTGAGTACTTTCCAACTTCCTCACTGATGTCACTGAATTACAGGTATACAGCAATCTTGGATGAATCGCAGCACTCCCTTTTGGTAGCTTTTACTGATAAAAAAAACGCAGATCCCCTCCGATGTAGATTTACTAATTGCCAAAAAACCTGCCAGTATGTAATTAGAATACAAGAATCCGGATGCTGCCGAAGTTACTATTGAAAGAAAAGCTCAGAAGGCCAAAACCAAACACCCATGCCAAACCTGATATCTTCATTTCAAAAGTGTTTGTCACATAGAAACGGGGCTTTGAAAGAGCCTTTGCTATCTGAAAATGGGCTTGGGAACTGACGCCTTTCTAAAGATGGTGCTTGCGTGGGAAGCCCATTGCAGAGATACTGGGTTTCAACAAGTGGATCACATAATGAAGTTTCAAGAAGTTAACATGAGTTGTAGGAAGGAAAGGAAGCTGCCCTTGATGTTGGGCATCTGCTCTGTCCCACAGGACAATGCCACCTGCCTGGCACCATTATCACAATCCTATAATAAAACACTGACTATTTTGGAGCAGAAGCAAAAGTGCAGAGATAGCATTCAAAGGAAATAACTTCCTATTACAGAAAGTACAGAAAAAATATGTATAAAATAGGATGGTTCCCAGCACTGTTTTCTGCTTAAGACAATAGGAGAGGATTTTCTGTCTTGGCTTAGAGGTCAGTCTTGTGTTTAAATTTTATGTGAGCTATTAAAAAAAAAATATTAACATTATAGCCTGAACTAGCTCAACCAGCCTGTATAAAGAAGAACGAGTACCTTCTGTGAATGGCAGCACTTCCTGTGGTGACACAAACTTGTGGAATGAATCTTCTTCATTAGGGAACTGAATGAGAAAGAGTACAGGAAGGTCAGGAAAAATGAGACTGCCTCATTAGTGAAAACAGGTCCCGGGTGCTGGAAGGAAGTAAAGCAGAGGAAGACAACTTGCCAAGTCATACATCTGTTTACAATAATTACATAGTGCCTGTGCCTAGAACCTCTGTAACGTCTATAGGTGAAGGGTTTTTCCTCAGAGCTTTTAGAGCCCTCTATGACCTGGCTGCCATTCTGCAAAGCCTTGGGAACTGGAGCAGAGAAGCGACTTCCTCAGTCTGCGACTTCATCTGACAATACTGAAAAAGTACTGAGTGTAAGAAACAGTTTAGAGGATCTCCATCTACCTCCTCTGTCAGTACACAGGGTCTTTCAACACTAATGATGTAACTTGAAATCTGCAGTGGTTGAAAAAAAAATAAGTATGGTGATGTCAGTCTCTAGTAGGCAGTGGTCTACATCCTTATACCCAGTGCACTGCTTACTCAGCACCCGTGGCAGAGGAAGGTGCTTCCAGGAGATCCTGAGGCGTGCCAGATTTGGGTGAGGATCTCCTATTTGAAGTAATACTGCTAGATGGGGGAGATGGCTCATTTATCAGCCTTGCCTTGGGACAGATGGTGCTGTCCACCCTAAGCTTCCACAAGGAAAAAAAATCACCCCCCATCTCTATGCAGAGCACGTGCAGTCCTGTATAGCTGCTGTACTTACCTGTGGTGAAAGCTTGAACATGGGGGCACACACGATGAGTGGAGTGGAGTGGTGTTTAGCTGCCAGTGCCAGAGTGTGAGTCCCACTCACAGCAATCAGAGCACCATTGGCCAGGATTGTCTTTGTACCAATAATGACCTTAAAAGGAAAATCAGCATTAGATAGCATATTCCACAGCAAACTGGGGAAGAAACGCTTTCTGGCTTGGACCCTGCTGATTGAGCTGGAGGAGTTTGTCAGAACAGCCAGCCAGCCAAAGGCTGGAGCTATAGGGCAGCTGGATGCCTGATCTGTTTCGTCTGGCACTGGCTCTGCACTGAGACGTTCCTCTCTAACAAGAGCATGACTCCAGCATGGTGAGGCCAGCACAGAGAACCTCAGAGGACAAATGTATGTTCTACCGCAAGGAACACTTGAGCAGAAACTGGGCTGTGTTCCCTGTTGTTCTACAAGCCTGCAAAGTAAGCTTTTACAAGTAATGCGATTGCTGGCTGCAACAATTCCCTTGCTGTAAAATGGGAATAACGCAAAGCAGCTTAAAATATATAGGCAAGAAGTTGTGTGGCTGGATTTTACTATGTTACAAGTAATTTTTTTTTTGTTGTTAGTTTGGGGTGTCAAGTCTTCATCTCTATAAAAGTACAGAACAAATTTGTTTAAAAGGACACACCTTGGCAATTCCCTTCACCACCCATCTTGTGTTCCAGGCAAGGGGAGTTTCTCCCCTTTGGAAATGCTGCTTTTTGTTCCATCTTCTTTAAAAACTGAGGTTAATCCTTTGAGGCTCTCCTGGCTTGCTTTCTTGTAACTCTTCTGCCTCTTAGCCACTAAGGCAGAAAAACCTATCAGTGTGCAGTTAGTCATGGAACTGACGTAGGGTTCCAAATGAATCTCCACCCCAGCTCTAAATAGGGACTATTACAATTTTGAGTCTTCAGTGAAGACTCAGCTGGGACCTGCAGCTGGTTTGGGAGGCCTAAGCACCCAACCTGCCATGAACTCCCTCCTCCAGTGGAGCCCTCCTTACCTTGTTGACTCGAGACATGACAGCAAAAATAGCTGCGTCACTCATGACAGTAGTTTCAATGTTCTCTTTAGATAGTCGGACAGCCATTTCGTGACCCTAAAAAGAGGGAGAATCCAATTGGTCCCCTGGGACATATCTCCTGCACTGCAGTTGTAGAGGTATCAGCACTCAATTCTTGTCTGAACTGCAAAAATACTGAGTGATGGAGCACAAATACAGCCCTCTGACTGTAGGACAGAGGGTATGATAACGAGCCGTCTTCAGTCTCTCCACTGCAGAGGAACTTCCACAACATTCAACTTGCCTCCAGAGACAAGAGTTCAGTAAATGCACGAGACAATGCAGCACCTGGAGAAGACAGCCAGCCTGGGCCTCACCTGGCAGAACGGTGCACACTCCGCCACGATGACCTGGAACTTCCGCTTGCGGGCAGCTTCCTTCAGGAAGGCCTCAACAGTGCGCGAGTAGCCAATGGTCATGATCACCTCGTTGGAGTGGATGTGCTCCAGCGCCTGCATAGCAATGTTGTCAGTGGTGCCCTCTGTAACAGACGGAAGCCGTGGGTGGAAAAGCAGCCAGGAAAAGCAACACATGTGCTGCTAGAGCTGTCCTCCAACAACATCATTCTTTACGAAAACGATGCTATGAGCACTGGTAGAGCAGGAGCAGCTTTTCTCCCCATTCTTTTTACCGGTGGAGAGGGACTGAGAAGCTGGCCCTTGAATGCCCCGTGCTCCCTAGCTACTCATAGAAATAGCAGTATTGAAACCTCCATCATGAGGGGAGTGGATTGGTCAGCGTAACCACCATGCCCACACAACAACTACTGACAGAAACCAAATGGTTTTACAGTTCAATAGCACTAGAACCACGTGGAAAGGAGAGGCAGGGCAACCTGGGCCTCAGAAGGAGAGTTGGGTGCCTGATCTGTCACAAGATCATAGAAAAAGAAAAATGTATCACAGTGCTTTGTGCGTGAATGTCAGGTTATATGTGCACATGGATTAAGTCCAACCTTGGCATATTTTTGATACTCTTCTTCAGAGGACTCAACTCAAGACTTCCCAGAAGACCAAGAGCACAGGCCAATAGTCCCCCACACTGTTCCTTCCACAATGTTCCACTCATCTCCCTGTAAGCCAAAGATGACTTAAGTCCTGGGAGCAGCAGGACTTCAGTTCCTTCACATTAAACCTCCCAGCCCTTTGCTGTTTTCTTTGCACCTAACTGGAGGGGGAAGCATCCATCCCATAAGAAGTTTCACTCATGTGGCAGTTCAGACCCATCTGTACCTAGCTCTATTAGCAGCTCGTTAATAGCTTCGATAACATTAGCTCTGAGGGGAGGATAAGGGGTTCTGAAGTCCTCGCTCAGTCCTCCAGAAGTCAGGAGTTTGTGCAGGGATTCTTGCTGGTCGCTTTCCTCACTGCGCCCGTGAAGCCTGCAGAGAGAAGCAGCCCTTCAGCCTCGGGAGAGAGCGCAGGGGCACGGCCAGGCTAAGTACTGTCCCCGCAGCACAGCACACCTGGATGTGACCAGAGAGAAAGAAAACCACAGACAGGAGGCACACCAGCCAGTGCCAAAGAGCTTCTCTAGCTGCCTCTGGCAGAAGGACACCCGAAGCTCTGCCAGGAAGCACCTTCCTATGTCGTGTGCAAGCGCTGCAGCCCGCAGATGAGGAGCAGGCTAAGGCTACCGCTCCAGTGGGATGGACCCTCCCGGGAACGCATGGAGAGAAGAGTCTGAGGTCAGGGCACAGACTGTTCTCAGACACCCACAACGCATACGTCAAGTGGAGTTTCTCTAGAGGAAACATCATCAGCTATGCTGAAAACGACAGATTTCCTTTTATGTTAAACTCACTGAATCCCTCTATAGGAGAGGTGGGAAAAGGGGATGATGGACACTACAGGGGTCTCACAGAAGCAGCAGAACACACAGAGTTTTGGGCTGTTCTGGGCTCCTAGGAGGGGCACAGGTGACAGCAAGAGGGATGCCTCACCTGCCGTACTCCTCCCGAATGACCTTCAGCACTCGCCGCACCATGTTGCCCACGGTTGTCTCTGACGGCTGGGCTGCCGCCATCCTCTGGCCCTCTCTCCGGATCAGATCCATGAGCTCCCCTGGAAGCGGGAGGGCCTCCGTTACGGCTGCCCGGAGCACACCCACCCCACGACATCCCTACAGCCAGAGACCGGCGCTGACACTAGGAAGGCAACACCGAGAAAAGGTACCCAGGCCCCCGCCCACCCCCGGGCCGCCGCGCCAGCGCCACTGCACCGGGCCCAC